CACATACACATACACATACACACACACACATATATATATATATATATAAATATATATATATGTATACATGTATATATGCACATATGTATATAAGTATATATGGTATCTATATTGATTTATGAGAATCATAATTCACGAGTCTTCACAGACTCTGTAGCATTCATCCCGATGCACACAGTGTACTCTTGCTTGGACTGCCTCAGCAATAGGTTGGGGCCACTGTTTATTTGATTACAAACATTCTGTTATGAACACAGACATGGCCCTTTGACCACGTATACTTATCAATTGGTCGTCATCAACCCCTATTGCGAAAGACATATATTCGACAATAGCCATGAATCTAACATATCTCGTCCACAGCCAACTATTGGTACGAATGTGTGCATATTGTCTGACCACTGGGTATCTCTCTTTGGTCCGCATAGGCGCGGTGGGTTTGCGACACAATGTTGCGTCAACAGGTGCTTGATGCTTCTCAACGAGCTAAGTAGTGTAAGCCTAGTACATACGCCTGTGCCTATACAAACTCTTTGTATATGCGCATAACAGGCTCTACGCTTGATATACACAACATCGCATCTCGGTATTATCGATGCACGTACTGGGCATTCCCGAGCGTGCTGCTCTGCCCGTGCTGGTATTGAGTAGTTCTATATATAGAACACTCGCAGGATATAAGGGATTCGCCAGATTGGATACCAAAAGATAACGCAGACACAGATGGATGTGTGCATCCCGCTGCTTAATAAGGGCCGAGTGGGCTGGGATGGGACAAAAGACATGCCCCGATCTACTGACCTGCACGCATTCAGCTAAACGCTTGGGCAAAACGGGTACGTCATAAGCGATCGCGCCAGCCCATCCATGTATTGCAGATACACATACTCTGCGGATAAATTCATATATTGTATGGACTCCATGGGAGATACGCGCCCACCACATGAGGCATACGGTGTGTGCGGTTAATTGCTGCTACAACCACGGTGAAAACGCCTATGCTATGTGACTGAGGGGGTTCTTTAGGATCGATACTCTCCGCACGCCCAGTCCTAGTACTCGACCACCATGGCCGGGCTGAACAGGAACTTGTTGTACCCGTGCTCTGCCATGCACTTGTGGATGCTGTGGTGTTCGCACTCCTTTGTCTCCGAATCGTACCTACACATCTTCATACTCTCCCGTCTATAAATAGAAAGCCCACCGAAACACGACCCCACATAGTACGGCGCATCGTGCGGGTCGTGTGCCACAAACTGGTGCGCCCTGAAGTTACCGTTGTGGAACACATCGTCTCTAAACGCCAACGAATCATAGAACCTCCCCTCCACGGCCCAGTAGTTAGTCTGTAACGTGTTAGCCGCAGCAGCCCGAGCCCGCACCGCCTGTAGGTACAGGCTGGAGATGGCATTCGCGAAGCTGCTCTCTCGCCCGTGCGAGTGCACTCGCTTCATAATCATCTGGGCCAGGCGGATAGCCGCCTCGGCGTGTACCGCACTGGTAGCATCGGCTATCACATCCCCCGCGGCCTTGTGTTGGGGTGTGTCTGTGCTGGTGGTCTTTTTGTTGTGCACGCGCGTGCGTTTGGCCTTGTCCTCCTCTAGCTGACGTAGGGCATCCAACACTTCCTTATTCACCTCGACTTCCCCATTAACCCCCCCAGGCTTCTCACCCGTCTCCGCGTCAGCGTCCCCCACACTGTCTGCATTGTCTGCCCCACCGGCGCCACTGTCCTCTGCCCCACTATTTACCCCACCCCCTTCCGGTACAAAGAACATGCCTTCCATCTCCGCATCGGGCGTGGCATCGATGATATCCTCGAGTATGTACTTCGTCATGCCGCTCACCTCCATAGCGTGCCTGAGGTTCTTAATCAGCGCGCCTACCCCCAGCTTCTTCCAGTCCCCCAACTCGTCCACATACACAAAGAACGGGTAGTGGTTCGCAATAGAACTCAGCGCATGCACAGTCTCGATGTACTCGACCGTTCCATTGGGCATCGTATCGACAATCTTCTGCAGATGATCGGGCCTCACCCGCATACGCCGTGTGGCTGATTCCATGGCCCTCGCCCCAGCCACACCCTGCACCAACTGGGTCACGGGAAGGCCTCCAGAGGGGGTGTACGAGTACTTGACCCCTCTCTGTTTCTTCACACGCCCGTTAGCACACACCATGTCCCACTCTAACGGAAACCCAGAGTCCCGCGTACCCAGCCACGGGTGCGGGTGGGTGCTGCTTAATTGTCCACCCCCAGATCCGGGTGCATGGGAGTCACTGTTACTCATACTATCCCACAGGGAGTTTGCGCGGTCGCTCTCACTCTCGACCACAATCCCCTGAGAGGCTGCCGATGCCCTGGCTTTCTCAGTTTTCTCGTTGGGTATGTAGAACTTGGGCAACCCAAACGAGTGCGCTATGCCGTCTTCATCCCACCCATCCTTGTTGTCAAAGTCCAATACAAGCACATAGTCTGTGTCCTCATACTCAGAGTTGGTAGCAAGCTCCAGCATGTATAGATTGCGTATCAGCGCCATACGTTTGAACCTGATATGGTCCACATTCTTACCTATCTTGGTATCAAACTTGAACTCGCTCGCAATGATACGCACGTGTTCATTGCGCAGTCGCCAGTCCTTGAGCAACTGCGGAGTACTATCGTTGGAATCGTTCTCCACCACCAGGATCTTATAAGTACCGAACATCTCGCCGAGCTTCTGCACCCGTCCCGTTATGTCTCGGTTTACGGTCGAATTACCGGCATTTCGCACCAGCCCTACTATCACGGCCTTAGACTTCTCCATCTCGCCATACCCTTCCCACACGCACTCGTCATAGTCATACGGCTTGGCCTTTCCAGGGCCTCTCTGCCGTTTGTGATGGATAGTACCCACATCAAAAGGATTGTCGGGTATCTCTACTACCACTTCTTGCTCAGCTTCTCCCCCGTTCATGACAAATTCGTCTTGGGCTTTCGAGCCTGAAAGAAACGTTTTGAAGTACTCGCCCCATTCTTCTTTATCTATACTACCCCTACTGTCGGTATCTCTAACTCTATTACTGGTACTGTATATTCTACCCGTATCTGCATTCTGTGGATCCCTCCCACTTTTCCCACCGTCTCCTAATGCATCCGCATTAGATTGGGAGACTATGCATACGCACACGCCTATCACAAACACAAGCATGTACACCATTAAGCCACCCCTGCGCTTTATGCGGATGTTAAAGCTGGTTGCCGCTTCTTTTAACTGCACTAAGGGGGATTGAGACACCATGGTGATGTGCGCCCGTTCTCTCGTACTTTGCATGTGTAGTGGTTTTGTGAGCTGATTAGAATATACGACTCTCCGTGAATGTGTGAATGCACACACCCGAGTGTAGTTGGTACAGCTGTATCAAATGTGAACCAGTATCTAGCATTTACTGTAGTGTATGAATATATCACCCCGCCCTGTCTGTCTGTCTGGTTGTTGGAGTGTCTCTATACTCGTACGTGTGTGTGCACGCGATCAGTAACAACCACCTGAGAACACTGACATTCGCGTTGTAACCCCTTCGCACCGTGTTGTAAGGGTCTGAGTCCTGTGTTACTTGTGGTCACTCACTCATATACATACAAAGTTCGCCACTCGCCACCCTATTAACAGCTGTATCACCTGTGTTATATGCACTCGTCGCACTTGTCCCGACGTGTGGCCTATCGTGTGCTAGTTTTAAATACAGATCTGAGCAATGACACGTCACAGTTCACACCTCGGAGCCCGGTACAGGCTGGGCCGCTGGATTGAACTTTATATTGAACTAAAATATAATGTTTTACCGTGTAACACTGGTCACTGTGATGATATGAATTGGCCAGTCAAACCGAGGAAATATATATCTATTAATATCTTCTAATCAAGTAGCAGTGTAATTTAGGTTTATTAATACAATCCAATTAAATAGAAGTATGCGTCATCATTCAATGGAATGCGCTCAAGTAAACTGGTTATCAATCAATCATATTGCATAAACACACTAGTAAATTCTTGTTTTGGGGGCTGAGGCCGGCTGAGCCATTGTGGAACAAACCCTACAACCCTACTTCACATATAGGAAACAATCATGTTGTATTGTTGTTGTTTTATATTTTTTTCAAACAAAAACACAAATTTTATTTTTTTTCTTCAGATGTTAAAAAAATAAAATTTATGAAGGCGTAAATACTAAATATTTATGTAAATATGGAGGTCTCACTTCTTCGATCTTTTTCTATAGAAAATAGAGTATTGTACGACACATATTTTAAAAACATAATCAGAATAGACCAAGAGAGCATCATAGTTGGATCTTGAATGTCTACATAAATATAGCGTTTTAGGCTTTTAGCATTAGGCAGGCTTTAGGAAGTAAATATATACACCTTCGTGACCAGCGTGTGAGTGCAAAGTAGTAGACACTGATTCGTCTTTGAGGCAAGAGTATGACACTAAACACTTATTCAAACTCATCGTGACAACAAAAGTGTGATATCTGTTTATATACGAGTGAATTCTGTTTTTTAAGATACACTCGCAAATACTGTTCATTCCGTGCGTTTGTACGCCATACACACTCGCAAGCTTGACTACCAAAGCGATGAATACATAGTCTGACTGAGAACAAGGGATCAAGGCCTTTTGGAATAGGCAGAGCCTGAACATTACGGTTTGTGGAAACGTAGCGTGCATGTTAAGAGTAGCTGTTTTTATACTATTGTATGTCAATGCAAGTCTTTGTCTCCGTCTGCTGTTACATTATTTTGTGTATACTAATCTATCATCGTAGTAATCTAAAGAGAACCCAAACTTATGTTTAAGTGATTACATGTATATATACCCGTATACACACACATATATATATATATATATATATATATATATATATATAGTGTGTGTGTATATATTATTTATT